ACCACATCCTTCGAACAACCTCTGCCATATACCTATCCGCTTTGGGGTATATGCCGTCGCCTGTTCGTGCCAGCACCTCCATCCGTCGACTTTCGCAGACCGCTCGCCAGCTGTCCAACAGTCTCCACACCATGGCTTCCGCCCAGGACTACAAGACGCGCGCCGTGGGTTCGCCCAACACGCTCGACTACCGCGTCTTCCTCGAGAACACCAAGACCGGGCTGCCCGCGTCGCCGTTCCACGATGTGCCGCTGTTCGCCGACGAGAGCAAGACGGTGCTCAACATGATTGTCGAGATCCCGCGCTGGACCAACGCCAAGGTGGAGATCAGCAAGGAGGAGAACTTCAACGCCTTCAAGCAGGACACCAAGAAGGGCAAGCTGCGCTTTGTGCGCAACTGCTTCCCGCACAAGGGCTACATCTGGAACTACGGCGCCTTCCCGCAGACGTGGGAGGACCCGCACCACACGCACCCGGACACCAAGGCCAAGGGCGACAACGACCCGCTCGACGTGTGCGAGATCGGCGAGCAGGTCGGCTACACCGGCCAGATCAAGCAGGTCAAGGTGCTCGGCGTCATGGCGCTCCTCGACGAGGGCGAGACCGACTGGAAGGTGATTGTCATCGACATCAACGACCCGCTCGCCCCCAAGCTCAACGACATTGAGGACGTCGAGCGCCACCTGCCCGGCCTCATCCGCGCCACCAACGAGTGGTTCCGCATCTACAAGATCCCCGACGGCAAGCCCGAGAACCAGTTCGCCTTCTCCGGCGAGGCCAAGAACCGCAAGTACGCCACCGAGATCGTGCACGAGTGCAACGAGGCCTGGAAGCGCCTCATCTCGGGCCAGGCCGACGCCGGCGAGATCAGCCTCACCAACTCCTCCGTCCAGGGCTCCAAGGGCTTTGTCGGCGCCAACGACGCCGCCGTCACCTCGGTGCCCAAGGCCAACCCGCAGCCGCCGGCGCCCATCGACGCCAGCATCGACAAGTGGTTCTTCATCTCGTCGTCGTCCAACTAGACGCGCATTTCCCAGCATCCACTTTCTTCCTCAGTCGGTCTCCTGTTTCCGAGAGAAATAACAAGCTCGAATGCTATTGTCGGCTGTTCCTTCAAGAGCGTGACGTGAGATGGCTAGGCTTGTTGTGCCAGGCGCTGTTTCTGGCGTCGTTTCTGCAGCTTTTTCTTGCGGTTGGCCGAGTTGCCCGTCGGTGTATCTTGCTCTTCTTCCAGTGGTCTCTTTGTCGGCGCATGCTTGACGAAGCAGGCTACAAAGAAGCCATTGCACGCCTCTACGTGTGGCTTGTCCCCCTCTCCCTTGCCTCCCGGAATGCACCTGATGACGCTCTCCGCCACACCTTGCTCTTTGCCGCACGCATCGGGATCGCCCCTGACGGGCCAGGTAGGAATGACCTCTGAGCGGGGTGCCAATCTCCAGCCGAACTTGTCGGCCTCTTCGGAGTGCAGAGCACGGATGACGACGGCTTCGTTCTCCTGCGCGTGCACAGAGCAGGTCGAGTAGACCACCTTGCGCAGCCCGGGGAATTTGAACGCATGCCGGATCATGAGCAGCTGAAACTCGCCCAGCTGCCGCAGTCTACGCTGCAACTTAGTCTCGCCCGTCTCGGCAGCGACGGTATCTTCGAGCTCGTCGACGTCGTCGTCTTCTTTGAGAAAGTCGAGCCGGTTAACGATTCCGCTTCCGCTGCAGCTCGGATCCAGCAGCATGTGCGTCACATCGCCAAAGTCGGCCGGATTGGTGGTGAGAAAGTCCCTGCGTTCGGGAATCACGTTTCCCGTAGTTGCATCTTTGGCCAGGGCTCCTACGGCAGCTAGACGCTTGACGAGTGTCTTGTATCGGAGAGCATCGCGTTCGAATGCAACCACCCTGCCCTCGCTCTGACCGATTCGTCGCGAAGACTTGGCGAACATTATGGCGGATAGATGCGAGGTCTTGTTGCCGGGTGCGCTGGTTGCATCCACCACCTGTGCGTCTGCCGGCGGATCGAGAATGTACGCCGGAAAGCACGACGCTAGATCCTGCATGACGATCCAGTTGTCGCGGTACATCTCCGTCTGCAACAATGCACTGGTCGCCTTGGGATGGAACGCCAACAAGCCCTGCACGTGCTTCGACACCGCAAACTCCTTGACCCCACCGATCTCATCCGCCTCGACCTGGGCATAGCTGTGTTCGGCCAACCAGGCGAGCACCTCGTCGCGCGTGGCACGCAGAGTGTTGATGCGGATCCACCTTGGCATTCGTGCCGTCATCTCGTGGTACAGCGCACCCGACCGCAGATCCTGGATCCTCGCTTTGCCCTGTCGGATCTGCATCTTGACCAGCGCCGAATGCAGCGAGGACCGGTACTTTTCCAGGGCGACCTTGGGCGGCCATGTCTTGTTGGCTTGAATCCCGCGCGACTGGAAGAGCAGATCGTGACAGAGCACCAAACACATCGCCTCGGCAGACGCAACCTCCTTGAGCTCTTTCTTGACCGGCTTCTGCTTGGGCTTGTCGTTCTTGCTCTTTGGTGGCGGAGCAAGGATGGTGAACACCTTGGCTTCGAGCTTGAGCACCCTGGCTGCGTCGAGCGCAGCTAGAAGCGCCGAACGGTACGCCAACGCATTGATGAGCAGCGCCAGCACACGACCCGAGTCGGCATGCACCGAGGCTGCCGCCTTGACCGAACACTCGTCGCGCAACACGCGATCCAGTGCCGTCGCCGACCGAATGTAAAAGTCTGCCATGATGCTGTGGTGTGGGTGTGCAAACGAGAAGAATGCGTCCAAAGCGCTGTTCTTTTTTTTTGGGCAGAAGGACCCTGGCTTGGGGCGTTTTTTTCTCCACTCCTCTCCGTGTTCCGAAGTCCTCCCCAGAACCCTTTCTCTTCTCCTCACACTCGGCCTCATTCACATTGGCAAGCGATGCAGATACGAGCGACGGGGTATTGGATTACGTCTGAAACGAGTGGCAAACGAGTGACATGATTGTGTGGGCTGCGACTCTCACTGCTGCGCGGCAGGCGTGGTGGCAGCGCCCGTACCGGGTACGACGTTCTGCAACGACGGCGCGGCATGCGCAATCTGCTCCTTGACTTGGGCAAAGGTGGAGCCGGGAGGCTTAGTGGGGCTCGCGTTGATGGGGTCTTTGCTGCTCTGGCGCGAGGGTGTGCGCTGGCCATTCTTGGGCGGCCGCGGCGGGGTGTCGGTTTGCAGCGGAGAGGCAGGCGCAGCCGTGGCGGCTGAATCGTGCGAGGCGTCGCCGGCAATGGCCGAAGCTGGCTGGGTGGGCCCGGCTTGCGCAGCACGCAGCCTCTCTGTGGCCGCCGACTGGATGTCGTGCGTCTGCGATTCGGCAGGCGTGACGAAGCCAGCAGTGTCGATCGAGGCGCGCACGCTGCCGTTGGCTGTACTCGAGGTCGGTGCAGCCTCTGTAGCTGCGGCCTGCTCCTTGATCTGGTCCACGCGGCCATTGCCATTGACGGGCTGCGGCGGATCGATTGCTTGACTGCTGCTGCTGTCAGCGACAGCTGCTGCCGCAACCGCAGGGCCGACCGTTTCCGATGGCTCCTTGGCAGCAGTAATGCCGCCCAGCTCGGACAGATCCTTGCGCACCGAGCTTCTGCGCTGAGGAATGTCGCGTGAAGCGGCAGAAGCAGCAGCAGGGCTGACGGTGTCAGCGCTTGTGCCGAGTGAAGGTGCGGGCTTGCGCGAGATGCTGTTGGACTTGCGTGTGGAGTTGTCGTTGGACCCGACAAAGGACGAGGTGCGGAAGGACTGGTTGCGAGACGGGGGAGCCGGTGCGGGCGGCAGGGTGGGGACGGCGGAAGGACCTGCGATCGGCGAGGGGGTGGTGGCGGCCTCCTCAAAGATGGTTCCGTTCGCGGTGGTTGCGAGTGGCGTCTTTTCGAGCAGGGCGGCCTTGCGCTTATGCGTGTCTTCGAGGTCTTTGAGGCTCTTGAGGCCGCCTGCGGATGACTTTGCGACTTGGGGAGCGTCGCCAAACGAGAACTGGTCGAGCGACTTTGGGAGGTTGACGGCATCCTCCTCGACGTTGTCCGAGTCCTTGAAGGTGGGGATCCACTGGCGACGCTCCTTGAGGAACTTTTGCATGTCGATGTTGGTGGAGGCGGCATCTGTAGGCTTGGTGAGATCGCGCGAGGTGAGGTCGATCTGGTTCCACTGTACGCCCTTGCCAGCAAAGAGCTCGGACGGACGTGGTGCGCCGGTGGGAGACGAGGGCGAGGCGAGGCCGCCCGAGACGCCTGCACCCACAGCCTCGGCAAAGGAGCTAGTGTCGCCTGCGGGTGAGCTGAGCGAAGGGGCGATGGCGCCGGGCGTGATGACGGGGGGCGAGGTGGCGGCGACTGTTGGCTTGTTGACGAGGCTGATCTGGCTGGCGCGCTTCGTGTTGTTGGAGCCAAAGTAGTCGGGCGACTTGGCGGCGTGCGAGGGCGGTGCAGCGGCGTCGATGCTCTGGGAGCCCTTCCTGCGCGTGCTTCCAAAGAACTTCTTCATGCTGGTCGAGTTGCGGGAGCGGAGCGAGGAGGAGGACGAGTCGACGGTGTAGTTGGTGGCACGACGGCTGTGTGCGACTTGGCCAAAGTCGGGGCTGTCACCTACGACGTCGGCAGCCTCTGTGTTGGATGTGCGCGGTGGCTCGTGCCTGGAGACGCTCGAGATGACGGATGAATGCGACTTGCGGGACTTGAGGCCGAAGATCGCCATGCTCTCTTACAGCGTCTATGGCGTCTGTAGCGGGGGGAGAGAGGTGGAAGAGATGGGCTGGTGGGTGGAACGGATGGATTGAGAAGGATCGATGTAAGCAGTCCCGGCGCGGGGAAGTTGGAGCCACAAGGGAGAGAGCGCAGAAGAGAGAGCGCAGAAGAGAGCGCTTGGATGCCTCTTGCTTCTTGGGTTGGTGCGTGCGTGCGGACGTGCGTGCGAACATGCGTGTGCGAGCAGGCGTGCGTTGGACTGTGCTGTGCTGCGCTGTTCCGTGCCACGCCGTGCCGTACTTGGCCGTGCTGTGCTGCCAAGAGCCTGCGCCGAATTTCCCTTTTTGGCCCTCGTTGGCCGAGTCGCACAGACTCGGACCGACTCGGCGCACCGCCTCGAGTCTGTTCCTCGACATGCTCAGCGTAGCACGAAATCAAGTTGACGTCGGTGGGCTCGACCTCATCTCGTGCTTGCCCAGCACAGCTCCCACACCTGTGACAAGGTTCGGGCACAACTCGAGATGCCGGCCACTGTAATTTGCACCAACCCACAGGAGTTACGGTTGCCGGGCTGCTGTGCCAATCGCATGAGTTGAATCGGGAGAATCTCGATAATCTCGAAAATCGCCGCCCGATGTGCTTCGAAAAAAGGGCGTGGGTCGCGGCTCGCTTTTGAGAAGAAGCTGGAAGAAGGCAAAGAGCAACGCGCAGCAGTCGAAAGCAGCGCGCGCGCCGTCCAAGGAGAGGGCGGTGTTGCTGGTGCTGCAGTGCACAGTTGCTTCAGAGTCGGCGCGGCAGGTGCGCAAAAAGTGACACCAACCGACACCCGCTGCTCGCACGCACTCTCTCGCAACACTCCACCACATCGACACCCGTGAGCAACGCAACCATGTCCGGACAACAGCCCGTGTTCGTGATGAACACCGGGCCCGAGCGACAGACCGGTCGCAAGGCGCAGATCTCCAACATCACCGCCGCCAAGACCGTGGCCGACGTGATCCGCACCTGCCTGGGCCCCAAGGCCATGCTCAAGATGATCCTCGACCCCATGGGCGGCATCCTGCTCACCAACGACGGCAACGCCATCCTGCGCGAGGTTGAGGTGGCGCATCCGGCCGCCAAGTCGATGATCGAACTCAGCCGCACGCAGGACGAAGAGGTGGGCGACGGCACCACGAGCGTCATCATCCTCGCGGGCGAGATCCTGGCGCAGTCGCTGCCGCAGCTCGAGCGCGGCATCCACCCGGTCGTCATCATCTCGGCATTCAAGAAGGCGCTCGCGCGCGCACTCGAGATCGTCGAGCAGATTTCGGTGCCCGTCGACGTGGCCAACGACAAGGAGATGCTGGCGCTCATCAAGACGTCCATCGGCACCAAGTTTGTGTCGCGCTGGTCGGAGCACATGTGCAAGCTGGCGCTCAAGGCGGTGCGCACCGTAGCCATGGTTGACGGCGCCGCCGGCTCGTCGGCTGCTGCGGATCCGACCAAGACGGTCGACATCAAGCGCTACGCGCGCGTCGAAAAGGTGCCCGGCGGCACCATCGAGGATTGCCGCGTGCTCGACGGCGTCATGCTCAACAAGGACGTCACGCATCCCAAGATGCGCCGTCGCATCGAGAATCCGCGCATCATGCTGCTCGACTGTCCGCTCGAGTACAAGAAGGGCGAGTCGCAGACCAACATCGAGATCACGCGCGAGGAGGACTGGAACAAGATCCTCGAGATCGAGGAGCAGCAGATCCAGTCCATGTGCGAAAAGATCATCGAGTTCAAGCCCGACCTCGTCTTCACCGAGAAGGGCGTGTCGGATCTGGCGCAGCACTTCCTGCTCAAGGCCAACATCACCTGCATCCGCCGCGTGCGCAAGACGGACAACAACCGCATCGCGCGCGCCACGGGCGCCGTGATTGTCAACCGCGTCGACGACCTGCGCGATGCCGACATCGGCACGCGCTGCGGCCTCTTCCACATCGAAAAGCTCGGCGACGAGTACTTCACCTTCCTCGAGCAATGTCGCGAGCCCAAGGCGTGCACGATTCTGCTGCGAGGTCCGTCCAAGGACATCCTCAACGAGATCGACCGAAACCTTGCGGATGCCATGGCGGTGGCGCGCAATGTCGTGTTCAACCCGCTGCTTGCGCCCGGTGGCGGTGCCACCGAGATGGCCATCGCCTATGGACTTTCCGAATACGCCAAGGAGCTCGAGGGAGTGGAGGTGGGGCCGATCCGGGCGGTGTCGGACGCGATGGAGGTGATCCCGCGCACGCTCATCCAGAACTGCGGCGGCAATGCGATCAAGACGCTCACCACGCTGCGCGCCAAGCACGCCAACGGCGAGCACTCGTACGGCGTCGACGGCGAGACGGGCAACGTGGTCGAGATGAAGGAGTACGGCCTCTACGAGTCGGCAGCGGTCAAGATCCAGACGCTCAAGACCGCCATCGAGTCGGCGTCCTTGCTGCTCAGGGTCGACGACGTGGTGAGTGCCCGACGCGGAAGGCAGCCCGGTGGAGGTGCGGGCCCGGGCGTCCAGGCTCCCGATGCAGGTATGAACGAAGATACCGCCCCGGACATGCCCCAGATGTAGTCTCGAGCCGTTGTACCTTGTAGCCAAAATCTCAGCTAGTCCGAATCGTACGAGTCGCGTCGATACTCTCGAGTCAAGGTGTGGTTGTGAGGCGCCAGAGGTTGAAATGCAGTGTTGCGGATTGATTTGGTCGATCAGAAGGGCCGACGACGATCCCCCCAACAAACTGAGCCGGAGCGGAAAGGGGAACACCCTCGCTGCGACGGCTCATTTCCGAGCTTAAGCAGTGGAGCTGCCAAGTCTGACGACAAGAGAAGACCGGAGGATCCGAGGAATGATGCCGAACTATGCCACATCAACTCCGCACCGCCTGCCGACAAAGATCCAGATCGAGGCTCATGGGTTGCAGGCCTGCAGAACAAGACCGGAGGAGGTGTTGGGTCTGCTTGGCCTCATCCGCTTAGCTGAGGCGCGAGTGGCACAGCGAAGAAAGCGTGGATGCGTGTCTGCCTCACGTCCGAGTTCCTCAAGCGTCCTCTTCTGAAGATGACTTCGAGGCGCATCAACCTTGGTAGCCTCAACCCGCACTCTTGAAGCAAACACGCCGCCGAGGGCAAGCTACATGATGTACGCTTTGAGATTAAACAACGAGAGCGAGTGTGTGCAGCGTGGCTGGTATCGACGATTGACAAACCAAAAAAGGGTAGAGACCGTAGTGAAAGAATGACCAAACGAAGGGCAAAGTGTATGGGGGGTATTGCGGCTACTTTGGCATCTCAGCCGTTGTCGCCGACTGGGAGCTTTCCGTAGCAGCACCGGTCTTTTCCACCACGGCCGGCGGAGGGGTGGGTGTGCGCTCCTTTTCCTTGCTCGCCGTATCCTTTCCGGTATCGACGAGTTCCTGACCGTCCCTACCGCGCCAAATGCCGTCGCGCTGGTCGACCATACCGTACAGCTTGGTGCTCTGATTCCGCGTGAGCGCCGCCATCCACTCGTCCACAATCTGCTTCGAGTCCACCATGACATTGATCTCCTGCGAGTGGAACCACGACTGCGTATCCTGATTGCCCGACCCCAGCACGGCCACATGTCCATCAAACGCGGCAAACTTGACGTGGCAATTCCGCTGCTTGCGAACTGCATTCAACGGACGCGTCATATCCTTGCCCGTATACCAGTACACCTCGAGGTACTTTTCGTCCCCCTTACCCTCCCTCCTCAGCTGCCGGTAGAAGGCAGTCACCACCTGCTCATTGGTCCCACCCTGGAACGGCATCGACTCGGACTTGTCGTTGAAGCCCAAGTCCAGCCAAAGCTCCACAGTGACGTGCCGACGCACCGCCGCCAGTACGGCAGCCTTGATTGGCGACGCATTGAGCGTTGGCGATTGGATGAACACGTGCTTCTTGGCATAGCGGAATCCGGCCAGCCACGCCGCATCTTGCGGATTGCGGATGTCCGAGTGGCCGGGCGTACCGTGCGGACGCCGGTTGACCAGCGCCATGGGCACAGGCTCGTGCGGCTTGTGGAAGATGTACGGCTGGAAGTCGAGCACGTCGTTGAGCGCCTCCAGCTTTTCGTCCGACAGATTCTCCGCACGGATCTCGCCCTGCACTTTCGAGTTGTTGGCGAAGTCGAGCGACTTGGTGATGGCGCTCAGGCGCTCGGCAGCCGACGACTTGGAGATCTGCGAGAGCGTGCGACGGTGCACGTTGCGGTAGCCCACCGAACCGGGCACGCCCTCGTCGGCCTTGTTATGCTTTGCGGTGTCGGTGTCGGCATCGGGCTTGGTGGTGAGGATGTCGGTGTTGATGGGCGGAGCGGCAGCGGGTGGGGCGCTCTCTCCGGCGGGGACGGCGATCTTGAGTGGAGCTGCTGCGTCGCCGTTCGAAGCCAGATCCTTGGAAGTCGTATCGTCGTCGCCTGCGAGGCTACTGAGGGCGGGCTTGGGCGAGGCGGTGCTATCGACTGCGGTGTGGCTGCGGGCGGGTTCGACGCCGTCGTCGAGGCTCTCCTCGTCGACCTCGATGGATCTGCGCCAGTCGTGGTGCTCGGCGTAATCCTCTTCTGCGACGGCGGTGGGGATGTTGGCGCCCGAAGCGAGGGTGGTCTTTGGGCGAGGATTGCGACGCACCTCCTGAGCGACGTTTTTGGAGCTGCTCTGGCCGAGACCAAACACCTCGAGCGCACCTTCTGCCCAGGCGGGCGGTTTGTGGCCCTCTTTCATCATGAGCGCCTCGACGACATCGGCGAAATGCTTGCGGGGCTGCGAGGGCGAGGAGGCCTCCGACTTTTCGAGCGGAGACGCAGCAGCAACAGCAGCGGCGTCGGGCTTGTCCTTGGTGGTGGCTGCGCTCTGAAAGTGGGAGAAGCGCTCGCCGAGCACCTTTTGGGCCCAGAGAGCGCCGGCGTTGCGTGCGGCCTTGTCGCTGTCCACGCGTTGGTCGGCAGAGGGGGAGCGGACTGGCGAGACGCCGGCCTTGGTGCCGAAGCT